CTTTCCCTCTGATGAGTGCAAGCACTCTTTGGAAAAACTAAAAAACAGACAACAAAACAAAAACAATAGCTATCTAAACAGAGAGGCCAGGAGAGTCACACATAGAAGCTGATGAAGAGAGCATTAGCAGTAGGCAGAGGAAGACATAGGGGGTGATAATTGATTAGAGAGAGGTAAGGAATGACCTGACCTGGGACAGGCTAATAGGCAAAGATTATTGGTAGTAGAGGCATAGTGCAATTTAAAAAGGGAGGGAAAAAAAAGGTAGACTGAGAAATAGATCATAGTCTCTGTGGACATAAACAGTGTCCGGAGATGGATAGTCAGTATGGATGCAGAGATAGAAGGCTATGGCTCAGTGGAAAAGCTAGTCTGCACAGAGTGATAGGCCTTTTAGGCGGGTGGCAGGAGAAGAATGTTTATTCTAAGTTGAGGTCTGGCTTTGTAGAATACTCTTCTAGCTTTTTCCATGGTCAGCACAAAGAAAGAAAGGAAAAAGCTCATAAAAGCACTGAATTATTCTGGGTTAAGTTAAGAGACTGCTTTTAAAAATACAGTATTTTTTGTTTGTTTTTAACAAAATAATCATGAAATACGTTAATGGGTGAGATTTTGCTAGGCTAGTTTTAACTAGATTGTCACCATATCCTTCTCCCCTCTTGCAAGTAAATGTATTGAAACATCTTAATCTATAATATTTCATTTATGTACATCAGAGGATCCAGTGTTGGAGGAACTTAAATGTAAATTTGGCATGCTAACCCAAGCAGCTTTCATCCTGAGTTAAAGCATGGTTAAAGGGTGATTAAAGCATGTGTGCTTGATTGCTGGACAGTATTTATTCATAATACTGTAGTAACCACTTTCCCAAGTGCCCTTCTTTTCCAGCGTCAAGACTCAATTTTCCTTCTTTCTGTTTTCCGCTAATGTTTTTTTATAGCAAGGACCGTGCAGCAGCTACTGCTGGAGCTGCTGGCCTGGCAGGAGGGCACCACCGGGAAGCATGGACCACCAAAGGTCCCTCCTATGAGGATTTATACACTCAAAATGTTGTCATTAACATGGATGACCAAGAGGATCTCCACCGAGCCTCACTGGAGGGGAAATCTACCAGAGAGAGACCCATTTGGTTGAGAGAAAGCACTGTCCAAGGGGCATATAATTCTGAAGAGATGAAAGAAGGTAAGAAGATAAGTCACTAAAATGGATATGTCTTAGGCTCAGTAGAAAACGAACTTGACTTATTGGGAAATTGGGCAGTTCTTAGTTTTATTGGCAATCTATTCTACCTGTTTTAGAAAGTATTTGTATTATATTGGGAAGTAAGAAATTGAGCAAATAGCTTTGTATATCTCTATTTTTAGATTTGAAAAACTGTCACTTCTTTATCTTAATTTCTTGGGAAAGTGCTGTTGCAATCAAGGCCACCAAATTCACCTCTTCTTTCATCTTCTGTTGCCCTAATATGTGCATTTTATTTTTTTGAATTGGGAGCTATAACCATACACTAGTTCAAACTTTTTGTGTTGTCTTCCTATAAATACTATGGAGTTATGCTATTTTACATATATACAGGTATGTAAGTAAAGTATTGAGCACTCTCACAGTCCAAAAGATTGGCAGAATTTTATTCTAGAAGATTTTAGAAATCTTGGTGAGACACAAAGGATTAAGAGTTGCATCATAATCTTCAGATGTTTAAGAAATGGAAAATTTTCCTTTTCAAGTTTTAGTTGAAATTATTAGATTCAGACCTTGCTTGGATGATGATGGGTTGGTTAGGAGCCCAAGATCAGACAAAGATTACCCAGAAACTGGAAAGCAGAGGGCA